GTTTTGAAGAGCTAGTAGCCACTAGCCAGGTCCAGGTATATTCACCAGCTGTTAGGGTTAGATCTCACACAAGCACGAATCTGAAAGACTAGAAAAAGAACGAGAAGAACGGCACACGAATATAACGTGGTTCAGCCAGTAAGTGTTACTGACCTAATCCACGGAGGCAACTAGGGTTTTCTTTCTTATTGAGATGATGAATGATACAAGTCATAGTTTACAAGTACAGGAGTCAATATATATAGGCAAACAATTAGGGTAAAACTCTTAATAAGGTTCTGGGCCTGACTGCCACTAAAGAAACAGGCCCAACTAAGGGCTGCCTGCACATTTAACTAGAGCAGGCTCTGCTCTTTGTTTATTTGGCTCCCAGATCTGAATGGGCCGAAGCCTACAGCCCAACAATCTCCCACTTGGAGGCTTCGAAACACGATCAACTGCACTCCACTCCTCTGTACTTCTGTAAACTTCATCTGTGTTTAGCTCCTCCTAGTTGCCACCTGCCTTCTCAACATTATTCTTGAAGGCCAGCTGAAGTTACACAGAACTTCAGCTTGTCCAGCGTCACAGATTTAGTGAACATATCTGCTGGATTCTTTGCACCTGAGATGTTCTTCAAGTTCATCGTTCCTCCACTAATCAACTCTCTGACAAAGTGATATCTCATCCCAATGTGCTTTGTTTTCCCATGATAGACTGGATTCTTGGCAAGTTTCACTGCACTCTCATTATCACAGTGTAACGAGTATTCTGCTTGCTTTTTGTCTAACTCGTCAAGGAAGTTCCTCAACCAAATCAGCTCTTTACTGGCTTCAGCAACTGCCATGTACTCTGCTTCGGTTGTTGAAAGAGCTACACTTTTCTGAAGTTTGGACATCCAACTAACTGCAGTTCCTCCCACTGTGAAAATGTACCCCGTTGTGCTTTTAAATGTCTCTTTGCATCCACCCAAATCAGCATCAGAATACCCTCTCAAAATCACATCTTTTCCTCTGAAACATAACCCCATCTTTGTAGTACCTTTCAAATACCTAAGTATCCATTTAACTGCTTCCCAATGTTCCCTCCCCGGTTTTGACATGAAGCGACTAACAACCCCGACTGCATGAGCAATATCTGGTCTCGTGCACACCATAGCATACATGAGGCTACCAACTGCAGATGCAAAGGGAACTTTAGCCATTTCTGCTTTATCTTCGTCTGTTCTCGGAGACTGGTCTTTGGTAAGCTTGAAGTGACTTCCCAAAGGCGTGTTTCTTGGTTTAGTCTTCTCACCATTCATTTTGAATTTCTCCAACACTTTCCCAATGTACTTTTCCTGGGATAGTGTTAAAAAACCACTCTCCTTGTTTCTGACTATGCTCATCCCTAGAATCTGTTTGGCTGGACCCAAATCTTTCATTTCAAATTCTTGAGACATTTGTTTCTTTAACGTGCTGATCTCTTTCATATCTGCACCAGCTATCAACATATCATCTACATAGAGAAGTAGAATGATATATGAACTCTTGAACCTCTTCACGTAACAGCAATGGTCCATCTCACATCTTCTGTAACCTGTCCTTATCATGAAGTTATCAAACTTCAGATACCACTGCCTCGGTGCTTGTTTTAGACCATATAAGCTCCGTTTTAGTTTGCAGACCAGATTTTCTTTTCCAACAACCTGATATCCTTCAGGCTGTGCCATGTATATATTCTTATCAATATCGCCATGTAGAAATGCTGTTTTAACATCTAGCTGCTCTAGATGTAAGCCCTCTGCAGCTACAATACTTAGAACCAATCTGATGGTGGTCATTCTAACCACCGGAGAAAAAATCTCATTATAATCCACTCCCTTTTTCTGCTGAAAACCTTTGACCACTAAACGGGCTTTGTACCGTTTTGACCCATCAGGTTCATCCTTGATTCTGAATACCCATTTATTTTGAAGTGCCTTCTTACCTGGCGGAAGCTTAGTAAGAACCCATGTCTTATTCTTGTGTAAGGCATCCATTTCTTCTTTCATAGCCTGCTCCCACTGAAACGAATCATGCTGCTTTATTGCTTCGAAGTAACTTTCTGGTTCTCCATTTTCAGTCAAAAGGAGATAATTGACTGAAGGACTGAATCTTTCTGGAGGTTTAGTGACTCTAGTGGATCTTCTGACCCACTGTGTTTCAACTGGCTGCGGCTGCACAGGTGAAGGTGCTCCTTCATCCTCTGAATTTTCACTATCAACAGAGTTTTCGTGATCATCCTCAGACTCGTTAGTACTGGAATCATTCTCCAAGCTCCCACTGTCTTGAGTATCTTATCTGTTTCCGATGACATCAGTTTCAAACTCAACCTGCTCTTTCTGAATCTTTGAGTTTTCTGTGCTTCTGTCTTTATAAAGTTCAGCCTCGTTGAATGTAGCATGTTTACTTCTGACTACCTTTCTACTTTCAATGTCCCAAAGTCGATAACCCACGTTGTCTCCCCCGTATCCTATGAAAGTGTATTTCTTGGCTTTAGCATCTAACTTGTCACCATCTTTGATAAGATCATAAGCGCTGCATCCAAATACCTTTAAATGCCCATACTTTACTGCTTCTCCTTTCCACTCTTCCTCTGGTATCTTGAAACCCAATGGTACGGATGGCCCCCGGTTGATAAGATAAGCGGCAGTGTTCACTGCATCAGCCCAGAACGTCTTTGGAAGCCCAGCATTAAGTCTCATACTTCTGGCCCTTTCATTCAATGTTCTGTTCATCCTTTCTGCCACTCCGTTCTGTTGAGGAGTGCCTGGAACCGTCTTTATCATCCGAATGCCATGTTCAGCACAATAATCAATAAACTCTGTGCTAATGTATTCACCACCATTGTCCGATTTCAAGCACTTTACCTTCAGATTAGTTTCCAATTCAACAGCAGTTTTCCACTTCTTAAAAATATTGAAAACTTCAAACTTATTTTTAAGAAAGTAGACCCATACCTTGCGTGTTGAGTCATCAATGAAGGCCACATAGTAGCTTGATCCTCCCAGGGAAGAGACTGGTGTTGGCCCAAACACATCCGTGTGAACTAGCTCCAGCTTATGAGTTTTCGGTGTCTGACCTGTCTTCACAAAGGAAACCTTCTTTTTCTTGCCAAGTACACAAGGCTCACAGAACTCAGAATCCACCTTTTTCAAATCTGGAAGTTTCCCCCTTGCAACGAGCATCTTCATTCCCTTTTCACTCATGTGGCCTAGCCGTTGATGCCACAAACTGGATGCATTCACCCCGCAGGTCACTGCATTCATCTCATCATCAGGAGCTTCAACCATATATAAAGTGCCCCTCTTTTTGCCTCTGGCGATTACAAGATTCCCTTTGACAACTTTCCATTGTCCTTCACCAAAAGTAACATCAAATCCCTGATCATCCAACTGCCCAATAGAAATCAGCATCTTCTTAAGGCTTGGAATGACCCGAACGTCTTTCAATGTCCAAGTGGTGCCTAATGAAGTCTTTAAGCCTATGTCACCCATCCCTGTGATGTCAAGAGAGTTGTTATTAGCCAAACGAACTTTACCAAAATTACCTGTCCGTAGATTCTTCATCGCCTTCGTGCTGAAAGTAGCATGAAATGATGCACCAGAATCCATAATCCACGTTTCTGTTGAGTTTTCAACACAACAAATAAGGGCATCATCTGAATCGTCAGTGGCTGCATTTACTTCCTTCCTTTCTGAAGATTTAGGGCATTGATTTCTGAAATGCCCAGTTTCTTTGCAGTTCCAGCATTGAATATCTTTTCTCGGTTTTGACTGGCTCCTCTTTCTAGACTTTGATCTGCCTCTGCCATTTCCCTTCTCTTTCTTTCTACCTCTCCCTTCAGTACTTAACAAAGCACTAGAAGATTCTCCAGAACTCCTCCTTCTTATATCCTCTCCTAGGATAATGTCACGAATGCCCTCAAATGTGAGTTTAGAGGTTCCAGTTGAACCACTAATCGCAGTGACTGTTCCTGACCAACTTTCTGGTAACGAGGATAACAAGAATAAAGCTTGGACTTCATCTTCAAACTTAATATCAACAGATAGTAAACGGGATATGATAGTATTAAACTCATTAACGTGTGAGGTAACGGATGCACCTTCTTTCATTCTGGTGTTTACTAGCTGTCTTATCAGAAATACCTTGTTTGATGCCGATGGTTTCTCATACATGTTTGACAAAGCCTTCATCAAACCACATGCAGTAGTCTCCTTCAAGATGTTAAACGCCACACTCTTGGCTAGGGTAAATCTGATAACAGCCAAAGCTTTCCTGTCTAGAGTAGCCCATTCATCATCACTCATCTTTTCTGGTCTTTTCCCTGTCAAGGCTTGATCCAAGTCCTTCTGACACAGCAAATCCTCAATTTGCATCTTCCACCATCCAAAATCTTGTCCATCAAACTTCTCGACTTTGGTTTTTCCGTCATCTGCCATTGTCCCAGTCCTTCACAATCTGCCGGCTATATTCTTCTGCGGCAGCGTACTGTTGGCGGCACAAGGAGGCTGAAGACGCAAGGTGGCAGCAGTGGTGGTGGTCGAATATGTGTGGTGGCTAACCTAGCTCTGATACCAGTTGTTAGGGTTAGATCTCACACAAGCACGAATCTGAAAGACTAGAAAAAGAACGAGAAGAACGGCACACGAATATAACGTGGTTCAGCCAGTAAGTGTTACTGACCTAATCCACGGAGGCAACTAGGGTTTTCTTTCTTATTGAGATGATGAATGATACAAGTCATAGTTTACAAGTACAGGAGTCAATATATATAGGCAAACAATTAGGGTAAAACTCTTAATAAGGTTCTGGGCCTGACTGTCACTAAAGAAACAGGCCCAACTAAGGGCTGCCCGCACATTTAACTAGAGCAGGCTCTGCTCTTTGTTTATTTGGCTCCCAGATCTGAATGGGCCGAAGCCTACAGCCCAACACCAGCTGGATCAAATTCCGGTTGAGAAGCCTTTTTTCTGTTGGATCAAACTCATCAAAGTTGATGTACCTGATTCTCATCTAGCATTTTGTATTTTTGTTACTACTTATAAATTGCAAATACTGTTTTGTTTTTCTGAAGGAGGTGCATCTTTGGTTTCAGTGATACTTAGTGGGAAGCTCAGAAGATATGAGGAAGAATAGATTGATTTCAGCTATTCAGAGAGCTCAATCAAAATATTCCAGCTATGTCAATCCAGTGATTTGGGCTGCCAATCCTTTACAGCTGAATGATTGTCCTTTCAGCAGGTACAGCGAAATCCCTAGCATTTCCGTTCAGATGAGATGGCATATCGGCCACGGTCACTGTAACTTATCAAGCCAGCCCAATTATGGAATTAACAAAGACCGTTTGGTAGAAATCCTCTTAAGCCATAGGGACGACCCTGAATCCGCATTTGAGCAATTCAAAGTTGCTATGGAGCATTTGGATATTCAGAGGTGGGTCGGGGAGCCTTTCTGTGTTTTGCTTTACATTTTGGCAAGTTCCTCGAAGCACCAGAATATGGCTAGAAGTTTGATTTCAAAACAGGTGCTTGGAGATTCTAATCTGCCTTATTATGCTCTATTCGATAATCTTGCTGATTGTGCTAAAAGATTCAATTTTGAGTTAAGCCCATTGGTTTTTAATGGTGTGCTATATAGCTTTGTTAAAGCTGGTCGTGTCAGAGATGCTGTTGATTGCTTTAAAGCTGTGTTGGGTCATGATATACTGATTCAGCCCTTCCTTGTAGGTAAAGTCTTAAAGACATTAGTCAAGAATAAAATGATCCAGGAAGCTAAAGATCTGTTTAATGATGCAGCCTCTAGAGGGATTGCATATGGTAATTTTACTGTGCGTTTAATGATGTGTGTTTGTTTAAAAGAAGGGGATATGGAGCTGGCTGAGAGGTACTTTTTAGAGGCTAAGGCTAGTGGTGTGCCACTGAACGCCGCAACCTTCAGTGTTGCTGTACACACTGCTTGTAAATTGGGAAAGGTGAATGCTGCAATTGCATTGCTGGATGAGATGAAGGAGAAGGGTTGGGTGCCTTCTGAGGGAACATATGTGAATGTAATTTCTGCTTGTGTGAAGCAAAGAAATATGTTTGATGATGCATTGCGGCTTAAAGATGAGATGGTTAGTTATGGTCTATCACAAGGATTGGTGGTTATGACGAGCCTAATGAAGGGATATTGTGTGCGGGGTGATGTAAGCAGTGCCTTGGGTTTGCTTGATGATCTTGTTAAAGATGGATTACATCCAACCAAAGTCACCTATGCAGTTTTGATTGAGGGCTGCTGTAACAAGGAAGGTTATATTGATAAGGCACTAGAGTTATACACTCAAATGAAACTTGAAGGTATCGAGCCATCTGTGTACATTGAGAATTCTTTAATAAGAGGATTCCTTAAAGATAACTTATTGGGCAAAGCAACTAAGCAGTTTGAGCTAGCGGTTGCAACTGATGTTGCCAATGTATTCACATACAATGTCATGTTGTCTTGGTATTGCAAAAAAGGTAAGACAAAAGAAGCAGAAAATATATGGGACACAATGGTGAATAAGCGAATTGTCCCCACTATTGTCTCATATAACAACATGATCCTTCTTAACTGCAGAACTGGAAATATGGACAAAGCATTAAGTTTACATTCTGAGTTGCTACATCAGAATATAAAATCTAATGTATTCACATATACCATTTTGATTAATGGGCATTTCTATAAAGGTGATGCTGATCTGGCACTAGAAACATTTGACACAATGCTTACGTTAGGGATTGTTCCAACTGATTTCACATTCAACTCCATCATCAATGGTCTATCTAAAGTTGGGAGAGCATCTGAGGCAAAGACCAAGCTTCAGATGTTCATAGAGAAGGGTCTATATCCAAGCTGTATGACTTACAACTTCATTATTAATGGTTTTCTTAAAGAAGGTTCTGTCAGTTCAGCTATATCTGCTTATACAGAGATGTGCGACCATGGGATTTCCCCAAATGTTGTCACTTATACATGTTTAATAAATGGGTTGTGCCAAAACAATAACATCGATCTTGCTGCTAAACTGCTGAAGGAAATGAAGGCCAAAGGTGTTCAATTGGATACTGTTACATATGGTGTCCTTATTGATGTATTTTGTAAAAGAAGAGACATGAAAAATGCAACGGAACTCTTTGAAGAACTTCTTGGAGTTGGTCTATCACCCAACATCATTTTGTATAACAGCATGTTTAGTGGGTTCAGAAATGTTAACAATATGAGAGCTGCACTAATGTTGCATAAACAAATGATAAAGGAGAGAATCCCATGTGATTTGGAGACATACACTACCTTGATAGATGGGCTGCTCAAGGATGGGCAAATACTTCTTGGCTCCAACCTTTACACAGAGATGCTCTCAAAGGGCATAACGCCTGATGACATTACATACACTGTACTGGTACAAGGTCTTTGCAATAAAAAGCAGGTGAAGAATGCACAAAAGATATTGGAGGAAATGTATCAGAACAAGGTGACTCCTAATGTTCTTATTTACAACACTCTAATTGCTGGATACTTCAAGGAGGGAAATATTCAAGAAGCTTTTAGGTTGCATGATGAGATGCTTGATCGAGGTCTTGTACCTGATGATACAACTTACGATATTCTCGTCAGAGGAACAAGAGACGGCAGTTCTGTGATTGACACTTTATCTATCAACAACTCTGAAGGGTTATGAGCTTTGTGATCAATAATGGCAATTAGCAGGAGGTTGGAGATTCTTCATCATATTCAGAGAAAACTGTAAACTTCATCTCCCCCCATTTTAATGGTTATTTTAAATTAATATTTTTTGTTGCAATCTCTAATTATGAGTGCTAGCTAAACATTCTTCAATCTTGCTAACAGTTCCGCATAATAAAAATATTAAGGAGAGACATTGAGTTATGTTGGTAGACACAATATTAGAAAGCGTTTCAGCAACCCTTTAACTGCATCATACATTCTGCTGCTGAGTTACAATGAGAAACCCACAAGTTTATACTTGTTTGAGATGGTTCATAAGAATCGTTATTATATTATAGCATCAAGTGTTTTTTTTTTTAAATTCTGTTTTAAATAAGCCTTTATTGTTATTGATCTTTCATATTTGTGTGATTTTCCTGATTGGACTTAAAGAGAGATCAAGTTTCATATAATGATTGCAAATTGTTTGTGCACGATCTCAGTTATTTTTGCCAGTCCATAAAATGGGTTTATTAACATATTATACTGTTAAATCCCCTGAAAAGCTGGTAACTTTAGAGTTTACCTTCGTAGTTACCTCCAGTAGTACTTAGTATGGGGATATTATATCATTTTTTGTAGTAGTTTATTGTTTTAATTAGTACCTAGATGCCTAAAGAAGATTACTACATAGATGGAGCATGTACTAAGACACAAATGCTATTATATTTTCCTGTTTTTTACCTATTCTTGTTTTTTGATTGAATAGGGAAGGCTAAAATGCATTCCTTACTGAAGAAAGAGGATTATCGATAATTTGAGTGGTGAGGCATTCTGAAATTCATGTCATGGTTTGAATAATTATCTTTCTATAAAGGCACAACTTCATATAAATTGTTTGCTTGCCTACTAGATTTTTGAATGCTCTTGACTTTATAATCGTCCAAAGATGGATTTATTCCAGCTCTCCAGTATACTGGTTCTCATATTCCTGATTCGAGCGTGATACATCTCAGGCAAGGTCTCTTTTTTCTCTATAGATGGACCAAGAAATTAGCAAGGCGTTCTTCTAAGAAACTTATTTGTTTGTAAAAAACCATTGATATTCTGGGTGAGATTCTGTTGAAGCAAAGATAAGCTGACATTATCTAAGTTGCATGTTCTTCTAGCACTTTTATAACTTTTGACCAATGGTTATTACTAGCCTATCTTCTGGTTGCAGTTAATGGCTTTTCGAGTTCATAAGGAATTTTCGGGGGTAAAATTATAAAAGTTCATTAAGATTTTTCTTTTGGGCGATCATAGAAATTCATTACAGCTTTTATTAATCACCTTTCATCTGGTTGAAACAGGAAGAGTCTTTTGGACATTTTGAAACTGGAGAGAAGAGGTTTTTGTTGCACTATATATGTTTTCACTTGCATGCTTGTACCTGTTCAGTCGAGGGGTGTTGATTCTTTCTAGGAGGTTGGGTTTAACTCAGCCAATGAAGTTGCTCACATATATACGTAAATCTAATAAGCCGACTGCCAGATATTGCTTTACCAGATATTTAATCGTGTTTATTCAAAGATGCTGATGGGGTATATTACCCCGGCCTGTTACTGTTCAGGAGCCCAAGGCTTCACCCCGGTATGGAGCCCAGTCGGCAAGGCCCATTTAGGCCCCTCGGGCCCATTGAGAGCCATTGAGGCCCCTCGGCCCACTTGGGGATTGTTCCGGCCCATTAGGCTAGAAAGCCCCCCCCCCCCTATACATAGGAAGCTAGGCTTCCATTTGAGGGGATCTTTTTTGGGCTCTTCTCCCCCCCTGGAGGGTTACTTCCTCTCTGCTCCCCATTACTTCTTCTTCCTTGCTTCTTCTTAGAGATTAGATGAGCTCATAAACTCCATTAATGGAGGTTCCGACAAATATGTACTATGTAAATGGTGAGCATTACATAGTACATAGAAAGAGATGGCTTGGACGTTAGCCTAAAAAGTCTCGTCGTTTTCTTCCTTTCCGGGTTTCCATGTAAAAACAGAGCATTTTATACATATTTATATCTATATCTAATAGTTTATGTTTGATTTAAACTCAACAGATGCTTAATTCCATTGCAGTAATTGCAGAAGCAGCATATATTTAGTTCAACCTTGTGACAAGACTGGAACGAGTCCCATCAGCAAATCCTTACTTATTTATCATTCAAGGTCCCGGTTGCATTTTCCATTACCAAGGAAAAAGAGTCAAATAAAGTTCTACAATTGTAAATTCATCATCTAAACCCATATATTAAAAAAAGCATCGCATAAACTTTCTGTTTATCGGAAGTTGACTATTTTTAGCCAGTCACTTTCTGTTTGTGATATTTTACACTTTTGTATTTTATTTTTCTCTCCTTTTTGTTTCTATATCTTCCTCGCATGTTCATCCTGCTCCGCCCCTCTCTTATTCATCTTCATCATTGTTATTCTTTCCTTACTCTTCTATGAGTTCTATCACTTTTTTCTTTACTTTTTTCTCCCTTTTGTTAATTTTACGTGAAGCAACTTAAACAGCAGCAGTGTTGTGTTTTTTGGAGATTGGTGCTAATGTATTTCTCATGGTGAAATGTTTGCTGCAATTCAAGTCCATATGGCTGTCCTGAGGCTCGAGCCATCCCTAGCAAAAGTTCTAGCACCACAACGTCTTCCACATTTGGCGGCATGCTCTCCATTGCAATTTGCAAACATGCTCACGCCAAGTGTGTATATCCAATGGGAACCAAGATCATGCTGTGATTAACGAGCTATATTATGGCTAAGGATGGATTCGGGCCGGGTCGGGCCCGGGCCGGGCCTAGGCCCGGTCGGGCCGCCGGTTCAAGAACAGTGGGCCCGGGACCGGCCCGAGGGTTGGACGGGTCCGGTTCGGGCCGGGCCGGTTAATTTTTTTTTATATAATTTATATTTTATATTTTATAGTTTATAGTTTTATACGAGTATTAAAAACAAACTTCAATTGCATTTATTTGAAATGAAATAGGAACTACATTTGAAAATTAAAACAAACTTTAACAGATAAACATTTTGAAAATTGTAATCAATCGGAACTTCCCGCACCTCCCGATCCTTTGGCTTTGTCACATGACTTCATATGCTTGATTGTCATCCCGAATCCGCCTGAAGCCCCCATAATACATTTTTTTTCGCACCATTTACAAATTGCGTACCACATCCCGGTCTTCGAGTCCTTCTGCTTATCAAAATTATACCGTATAATGGCATTTTGATTTTCCATCTTAACTTCTTGGAGAAGAGAATTAGAGAGTAGATATATAATATATTGGACTATTGGAGAATAAGAGAATTAGAGAGTAGAGAGTTAAGAATATGATTTAGGAAGAATTGGAGAAGAGATGAAAAAATGTTTAAGAGTAGGAGAATTTATAGGTTTTTTTACCCCCACCCCCCCCACCCCCACCCCCTAGCAGCCAACCCCCCCGGACCCCCCCTTTACCCCACCCAACGGCTATATAGCCGTTTGGGTTGTCCCCAGCCCCACCCCCAAGGCCTCAACGGCTAGTAGCCAAAAATCAAAAAAAAAGAAATTTTTTAAAAAATAGACCCGGACCCGGGCCCGGGCCCGACCCGGCCGGGCCGGGTCACAAATATGATGAACCGAGCCCGCCCCACCCCTTCCCCCCGGTTCGGGCCCAGACCCGGTCCCGGACCGCCCGACCGGGCCGGTCCCGGGCCCGCACAGTACCGGGCCGGGTCACGGGCCGGGTGGCCCGAACCGAATCCATCCCTAATTATGGCCGTCAATGGGGTTGTCTCCTGCCACCACATTAGGATTCAAGCGGGACTTCACGTTCTCCAATCTCCACAAGTCCATAGAGCTCCAGTTGCATCAAGAAATGCTTTGAATTGAGCTGCCATCATACCAATGACCAAACCTTGTAGGGAAGCCAAGAACAACCCCATTGTATTCTCTGGTACTTGCCAAAGCATGGCTTGAACACCTCTGTATATGTAGTAGTAATATACAATGTAAAATTTGGCCGCCGTTATCAATCTGGTTTTGGACAGAGGTTTGTTTGGAATATAACGCGTTGGTGACTCTATACTTCTATATCAATTTTTAAAAAATAGAAGAATTAATTAGGAGTTCTTAGTTTTTGGAGGTCAAATGTATGGAAACACTCATATTAACAGTCATTGATACTTTGATAAACACAGGTGCAATAGAAAAAAGAGGGAAGGAAATGGGGAAAGAAGGAAAAGAAGAAGAATCGATAGGTAATAGTTGAAGGGGGGAGCAGGAAGAACAGACCAATAAGAAAGGGGCATCTTTGGATAAATTGTTTGTGTTTATAATAAAGATATATATATATATATATATATATATATATATATATATATATATGATGGATAGTCTACCCGGGGGTATATATCCGAAGGGTTATTGCGGGGAGTAACTTAGATAGAAGTCAAAGCAAGTAAATATATATAGAGAGAGTGTATTATAAATGTGGAGCGTTTTCAGCGTGGTTACAAATGGGGAAATGGGGGGCTATTTATAGTAGCAATAAATGCCGGTCAGGGACACGTGTCAAGCGCTCATTGGCCGAGGGGTCGCCTCAACTGGTTGGCGCTGGCAGCCGCATGTGGCCGCATTTAATGCGGCTGTTGGATGGGACGTCTGTGCAGAGTACGGTGATCTGTACGCATGTGAGGCGGATATCTTGTCGAGTGAGATGCCTTCGGCCATAGAGCAGTAGCCGAAGGCTCCTCCAACCGAGGGCACCTTGGTGCCGAGGGCTCACAGTACCGAGGGCTACTGTTTTCGCCGTTTTCTCCCAGTTTCTTAGTTTGCTTGAGAAACCCGTTCTGTGAGAGTTTAGACCCTTCGGCCAGGGGGCCGAAGGTACCCCTGGCGCGTAGTGCGGGCTGCTTGGTACTCTGGGCGCTGTGATTTGGGCCTGTTGGGCCTGTTGGGCCTTCGATGGAGTAGTAGGAGTCTGTGGGCCGGGGGTTCCCGGGCCATATACTCCATCAGGAGTCCCTCACTCCTTTTACCGAAAGGTACTTGAGGGAAAAGGAGTAATTTGTGCTTGCCTTTTGATGTTGTCCTGTCGTGATCTCTGAAGTTGGTGAGGAGTTGTTGCTTCTATGTCCCTGCCGAAGGCAGTCCCTCAGTTACCCACATGTCGGGACTTGAGGGCTTGCTTTGTTGTTTGTTGGAATTTCACAGATTTTGTAATTTAATGATTTTCCCGAAGGGGTCCTCCAGTCCCCCACTCCTTGAGGCACTTGTAAAGTGGTGAAAAGGAGTAAAGTAGTTACGTTGCTGTTGTGGGCCGAAGGCTGACGCTTTTCGTTTCATTTCGGGGGGATGCCTCGTTAAAAACCTCATTAGGAAAAACCCTTTGGGAAAAAATCCTAATGAGGGAAAAAGAGTGCACCGAATTCCCCCAATGATGAATCGAAAATGTCAAACCTTGGTACAAAGTGAGAATGACGGGAATGCCGAAGGCTCTCTCCTCTGAGGGCTCCTGTGTAGATTAGCCGGAGGCTTGTTGTTGATGTCCTGGTGGTGCCGAAGGGGAGCCCCTCAATCCAGGGATCGAGGGCCTGCCAGATGAGGGCAGCAGTGAAGCTGTTACCGGGGGGTCCACTGTTTGTTGATGAGGTGGTGATGAAGATACCCGAGGGCCATGGGCCATCCGTCAAATGAGGCGCTCCCCGGGGGCTACCCGGTTTTGCAGTGCTGAGGGGGAAGCCCCGAGGGGTGCCCTGATATGCAGCCCTAGGGATCTGAAGGGGTGATCCCGAAGGCGTATGTAATGTGTTGTGTGGGGCACAACCCGGGGGCACTTCTGGGTGAGTGCACCCGGAGGCTATCTTTGATGGAGTGGAGTGAAGTAGAAAAACCCGGGGGCTTCCAAAATATAGCCGTTGGAAATATAGCTGTTGGAATATGTAACGACAGGATATAGCCGTTGGGGGGGGGAACACGTGGCGTGTGATGGCTGGCTGTCCGTGGGCGGCGTCACCGGTTGGGTGAAACGGCGGTGTGTAATGATGGCGTCCATCCGGAGGCCCGGAATCCAGGCCCAAGCCCGGATTCATCGCCTATAAATACCCCAAGGCCGGGCATTCCTCTGTGTGCGAAAAACCTGTTAGCGAAGCTCTGCCCATTTTTCTAGAGAGAGAAACAGCAGCCCCCGGTTGAATCCTCTGTTCTTAAGGTCAGTTCTCCAGTTACCCTTCACCTCTTAGCTATCTGTACTGCGCCCTTAGGCTAGGAGATAGAACATTTAGAAATCACTAGTTGTACGAGCCTTCGGACTAGGGTCAGAATGTCGTCCCAGAGCGATTCTCAAGATATCTCGGGGGCGCCCTCGGTGGAGGACGAAATTCTCTCGGACGTGGAGTCCTCAAGTGCGGAGTCCTCGGTGGGACAGGATGCCGTCATTGCCCTGGAGTTGCAGAAAACCCTCGCAGCTGAGGCGGGGGCCGAGGGCTTTGAGCAGGAATGTGAAGATGAAGAGTTGGCCATCGCCTGGCAAGCAGCTGAAGAGGAGGCACAAAAGGAAAGCGGGAGGGTCACCGTTGCTGTGCTCCTCCTCGGGGTGCCGGGGAGGCCAGTACCTCTCGGCCGCTGAATGCGGTCCCCCTCCGCGTGGCCCCCGGAAAGAAGAAGGCCAAGGCCGCTGTTCCCAAGAAGAAGGGCAGCGTAGCAGATCAAGGGAAACCCCTCGATATGCCCGATGGGTACTCCTATCTCAACACCGCCGCATTGGAGATGAAGTCGAAGGTTGATGCGGCGGATATCTATGTCACCCAGCTTCACGTGGGCCCCTCGGCCATCGTGGTGACACCGGGTCCGGATGACGTTCTCTCCCGGGCTCCCGAGGGCTGCATTGCGGTGCACGTCCTATCAGTATCCATGGGGCTCCGCTTCCCTCTGCACCCCTTCCTCCGGGAGTATCTTCGGTTCGTTGGCCTGGTTCCCTGCCAGCTGACCCCGAACAGCCATTCTTATATCACTGGCTTCCTTCAGCTCTGTAAGTCCCGGGGGGTGACGCCTAGCCTGGATCTCTTCTTCCAGAGCTTCAACCTGTGCCGGGGGGGGGGGGGGGGGGGGGGCACGCGAATGCCGAGGGATTCGCTAATCTGCAGCAGGTATCCGTGTTTAAACTTTTCACCGAGGCGCCTTCCTCGAACAAGGGGTGGAAGGACCGGTGGTGCTATGTGAAGCTAGCCGAGAGCCCCTTCCCGAGGGAACTGCGCGACCGCTTCAGGAGGCACGAGAAGAGGAGGAGCGCCGCCCTCGAGAAAGACGGCAGGGTTCTGGCCATGATCCCGGAGGGCCGGGACAAGAATATCTCCATCAAGGACTGCACCAAAGAAGCAGATCTCTACGCCCTCGGGTTCCGGCGGTACCGGTTCCTGGGGGAAACTGATGAGAAGTTCCCAGTGTTTGAGGGAGCCTCCGGAGGTAGTAGCTGAGGGCATTCTCACCCTCATCTTAGCACGTTTGTCCATTTGTTTTGTTAATCCTTTATGCCCTTAATAGTGAACCCTCGATACTAACCCCCTATATATATTTTTTGCAGGTGTTCCAGTAAGTATGATGAACGTAAAAGGCCTCGCCCGATTCAAGAACAAGCCGGCCAAGGATCCGAAGGGGCCGGACGCAGGTGGCCAAAAGCCCGTCGGTGCGCCCCTCAAAAAGCCCGAGGGCGATGCTGCTGCGGCTAAGAGAAAGCCGTCGGCAAAGGAGCCCCCCCAAGCCCCTAAAAAGTTAAAGAAGGGGGATGCCGCGAAGGATGACCCCCCGGTGGTGATTGTAGATGACCCTCCGATGATGCCGACGGCGCAGGTGCCGGGGGTGGTCCGGGAGCCATCTCTCGAGGTCCTCACGCTCTCCCTTCCGGCTGGTACGGCCGTGTTGAATGGCACGGCCGACCCGTGGGCGCTCCTGAAGGGTATAACCCTCGATATTGACAGGGCAGCTCTCGGGGCTGATGATGATCAAGCCCTTGAAGACAGGATCCTCCGGTCTTCTCTCACGGTGAGTTCACTGTAGTTTGTCTTTTTGTTTCCCCCTTTGAATTGAGAAATCACGTTTGGCCCTGACAACCCGTTTATCTTTGCAGACTTGTGTTGCCCTCGGGGAGCAGTTCCGACGGCTGGAGGAATGGCGCCTCCTCAAAGCTAAGCAAGAAACCAAGATGAAGGAGCTGATCCTTAGGGACTCCCAGGCCACGAAGCTGATGGCCCAGCTTGAGGAGGACCTCCGGCTGGCGAGGGCGGAGTCCGAGAGGCTCAGGGGGGAGAAGGGAGAAGCTGAGGCGGCCGCTGCGGAGGCCGCGAGGAGAGCAGCCTAGGAGGCCGAGGCCATCAAGGCGAAAGCTGTTGCCACAGCCCGGGAGGAGGCCATCTCCGGGTTCCTGGACGGGGGGTGGAAGACCAAAGGGCACAAGGCATGGTTGTCTGCGGTTGTCGAGGCCTCAGTTGATGAATGGTCCGAGGGCCCGGGGGAGGAGTGGATGGCCCGGAAGGGCAAGCAATATTATGATGGGGGTGAGTTCTTCACTCAAGCCCTCATCTACCGGAGGATGGCCCGCCATCTGAAGATTGAACCGAAGGACTTTGATCCGGCGGCGTACGGGCTCCCCCCTCTGCAGCCAGATATCCGTATCCCCCCCCCCCCCCTGATGTCGAGAGGCCAGACCTGGAGGATTCCGAGCTCCGAAGGGAAGCCGAGGGCGACGATCCTGAGGCTGATGCAGAAGTTTCCTCGAAGCCGTCGGGGGAGGCCGCCCCCGGGGATGACATGATTTGATATGTATCTGTAATTTGAACAGTTCTGTAATGGCTTCGGCCTAATCATTGTAATAACTATATTCGCTCTTTGTTGTGATGAATGATTGAATGCCTTCGGGCTTTGTATATATGAATTGTTTTTCCGATTCCTTTCTGCTTGTATGTATGCCTTCGGTATTTCTGAATGTATGTCTAGGACTTAGAACATTTTCTGATTGTAGCTAGCCCTTGGGAGCCTTCGGTAGTTTGGCACCCTCTGCTGGATATGCAACCGAGGGTTCAGCAGCAATTAGGACTTAGAAAAGTTTTCTAAGTGTAGCACACCATACGGCCTTCGGGTGATTGCAGTGACCCAAATCCTAGGACTTAGAAAACATTTCTAAGTGTAGATTTCCCTTTGAGAGCCTTCGGGATATTGCCTCCTTTCATGATGTGTGAGTAGATGTCCGGGGGGGAAATATGTAGGACTTAGAGAATATCCTAAGTGTAAATCTCCCTTGGGAGCCTTCGGGAGATGGCATCCCTCCTTGGTGTATGAGTAGTTGACCGGGAAAAACATGTAGAACTTAGAAAATATTCTAAGTGTGGATTTTCCCTTGGGTGCCTTCGGGTGATAGGCGCCCTCTGATTCCACATCACTTTGCGAGATGCCCGGGGGCTACTCATTCAGGACGGAATACCCCCCCCCCCTTTTTTTTAAGTGTTGTTGTATTGCATGGCCTTCGACCACCATATTCCCTTGGCTGTAATATTGATTGGGTCGGGGGCTCCATCTTTAGGACTTAGAATTTTTTGTAGTGCTGCTTCCCTATGTGGCCTTCGGGTGCCCGGGGGCTGCTCCTTCAGGACTTAGGATTTTTCTAAGCATAAATTGATGTCGAATCCTGTTGTGGTGAGGAAAGCCAATGAGGAGTGTGTGCCCTCGGCATACACTTTAAAAGTTGTAGAATTTGACCCTTGTCATGGGGAAAGGGCCCTCGGTATTTGTGCATAACAGATGCCTTTGGTGTTTGTTTGAAGTACTGTTTAGTGGACCTTGGACAGTCCAGTCCCTTTGTATTGTTGAAGCCTTCGGTGTCTTTGTGACCGGAGGTGACCAGGTAGTGGACTTAGCCGTTTCCTGATGATATTTCCTTGAGTAGTATCCTTCGGGAAATAGGAGTCTTCAATTACCGGAGGTGTTCCCGTGGGGAGCCCTCGGCATCTTGTGATTTTGTTGGAGTGTACTCTTTGATTTCTCGCTGAGTCTACTCCCCTTCACCCCCTCTCTTTTTTTTTTTTTTTTTTTTTTGGTTGGTGGTGAAGGGAAGGCATCAAGAAACTTGGTTTCTTGGTAAGGCTGGGCCTATTAGGAGACCATCAGAATACACCAATGGCTCTCCTCCCTCGGGTTAACCTTCCGAGTGCCGAGGGGATCGAGGGACGTTTCCGGGGCACAAGATATGGTGGTCCGTAACCTGCCTCCCCTTGGGGGATGGCGCGGAAAGCGCCTCATTTTTGAAAGTCGTCCCCTCGGCGCTAGACATAGTCTGTGGCCTGCCACACCCTTGGGGTGGTGGCGCGGGGAGCGTTTCGGTTTGGAAGTCGAATCCTGGGCATTTCTCATGCCTGTCATACCCTGGGGGTAATGACGCGGATAGCGTTCCGTTTTTGAAAGTCGAATCCTGGGCATTTCTCATGCCTGTCATACCCTGGGGGCAGTGACGCGGAAAGCGTTTCAAGGAAGGGTTTTCATTTGCACACTAGTTGCAAATGGCCGGGGGCACTACGTGCCGCCGGCACCGATGGTGGCGCCTTCGGTATATGCGTCCTCGTGGGGTACGGCTTTTAGAAACAACACTTGGTGTTAGTTTCGATGTGTAGCCCCCGGTACTTGGTACCGAGGGGTCTTCTGTAGGAACACTTGGTGTTCTCTTGTTGTAGTTGATGTAGGCGTCTACCCTCGGTACTTGGTACCGAAGGGTCTTCAAATGAAACACTTGGTGTTTCCCAATAGATGTTTGGAAGCTGTTAGGAGAGCATATCCCTGGCACTGGGTGCCAAGGGGTCTTCTTTGAAACACTTGGTGTTTTTTCTTTGTTTCGATATTTGATGAGGGAGGTGTACCCTCGGCACTGGGTGCCGAAGGGTCTGCTGTAGGAACACTTGGTGTTCTAATCTTTTCTTTTTTGATGTTGAAGGTGGGGAAGTACCCTCGGCACTGGGTGCCGAGGGGTCTTGACTGAAAACACGTGGTGTTTCTACTGTTTGTTGTAGGTGTTGATGGTGTCCGCCCTCGGCACTAGGTACCGGAGGGGGTTCTTCTTGTGGTGAGGCCTGGGGCCTGTAGTCAGTATGAGGGCTTGATGTCTTGAATGTATCTTCATTCTTCGAAATTGGAGGCCTTGGGCCATTGGATAGTACATTCACTAGTTATGAGGGCTTGGCCGCTCTTACATTATTGATAAAATTTAACTAAATGGTGTACATTCCAGTGCCTAGGGACCTCTTTCCCATTGGGGCGTTTGAGTTTGTAAGTCCCGGGTTTGATTATGGCTGCTATGATGTAGGGGCCTTCGAATTTTGGTGCCATTTTTCCTCCCTCGGTTGGTTGGCTGGCTTCCCTCCTCCGGAGGACATAGTCCCCCACTTGAAATTCCCGGGTTCGAACTTTGGCGTCGATGTAGCTTTTAACTTGCCTTCTGTAGTTTTCTGCCCGGATGAAGGCCTGCTCCCGGCGTTCTGAAATGAGGTGCAGGTCGAGGGCCATGTTGCTGTCGTTGACCTCGGGGTCATATTGGATCACCCTTCGGGTAGGAAGGGTGACTTCCGTAGGAGCTTTGGCTTCAAAACCGTAGCAGAGGGAGAAGGGTGTTTCACCTGTAGCGCGCCGAGGGGTAGTGCGGTAGGCCCAGAGGATGTTGTGAAGTTCTTCCACCCAGCCACCACCCTCGGCCTCCAGCTTCTTTTTGAGGCCCTCGAGCAAGGTCCGGTTGGCGTTCTCTACCTGCCCGTTGCCTTGAGGGTAGGCAACGGAGGAGAAGGTGTGTTTGATGCCCCATGCCTCCAGAAGGGCACAGAAGGGGGCTGCCTCAAATTGTGTTCCATTGTCATAGATGATCTGCTGGGGGACGCCAAACCTTGTGAGGATGTTCTTGAGGACGAAGTGACGGCACTTCGCCTCTGTGTTGCTGGCGAGGGGTTCAGCCTCCACCCACTTGGTAAAAAAGTCGACGGCCACAATGATGTACCTGTTGTTGGAGGTACCCCTCGGCAGAGGGCCCACAAGGTCTATCCCCCATCGAGAAAATTGGACAGATGTGCTGATGGGGGCATAGTTGACCGCTGGCCTGCCGGGGGCTTTCTGGAAATGTTGACATGCGGTGCACCTCCGGACAAGGTCAGCACAATCCCTGGCCATGGTTGGCCAGAAGTAGCCCTGGAGAATGAGCCTTCGGGACATGGAGAAGGGTCCCTGGTGAGCTGAGTAAGTGCCACTGTGCACTTCCTCCATTGCGACTTCGGCTTCATCTGGATGAAGGCACCGAAGTAGCGTGCCATTGTAAGATCGTTTGTAGAGCCTCCCATCTTCGATGGTGTAGCTGGGAGCCCTCAGCTTTGCCAGTTTAGCGCGGGCCTCATTCTCGGGTAGCTGCCCAGTGGAGATGAAGGCGGTGATATCTGAGATCCAATCCTCCTGACGTTGTTGTATGTTCATCACGGGGCTTGCATGGATGCTTGAGAGGCTGAGTTCCTCGATTTTGGCAATCTTGGAGATGTGCTCGGGGGAGTCTGCCGAGAGTTTAGATAATATGTCGGCTTCGGAGTTCTGAGCCCTCGGTATTTGAGTGAGAGAGTGTGCCTCAAATACCTTAAGCAACTCCTTGGCCGCTTCCTTGTACTGTTTCATTCTTCCTTCCTTGGCCTCATATTCTTCGGAGATTTGACCAACGACCAACTTGGAGTCGCATTTGATGTGGATCTGCCGAGCCCTCATGTTGGCAGCCAGCCGAAGGCCACATAGGAGGGCCTCATACTCGGCTTCATTGTTGGAGACTTTGAAGGAGAAGCGGATTGCATAGTAGGCCCTGAAGCCCTCGGGAGTAATGAGGACTACCCCTCCTCCGCATGCTTTGGTCGCGGAGGAGCCGTCAGTGTAGAGGGTCCACCAGTCGTCCGAGGTAGCCGAGGGCTCCCCGTCCGTGGCTGCCCTTGCGGTACATTCCGTCACAAAGTCCGCTAGGGCTTGGCCCTTGATGGCAGGCCTTGGACGGATGTCAATGTTGTACTGGCTTAAGAAGATAGCCCATTTAACCATGCGGGAGGAGCTGGTGGGGCTCCTCATGAGGGCGCCGAGGGGTTGATGAGTGAGGACCTGAACGGGGTGAGCCTGAAAGTAGTGGCCCAACTTCTTGACAGTCCAAACGATGGCCAACACCTTTTTTTCCACAGGGGAGTACCTGAGCTCGGCCTCCCTTAGGGTCTTGCTACGTAGAAGATGGCATGTTGGATGCCGTCTTCCTCCCGGATGAGCACAGAGCTGATGGCTGCCGGGCTAACCCCAAGGTAGAGGTAGAGGGTCTCCCCTACCTTGGGTTTGGAGAGCACAGGGGGTGAAGATAGATATCTTTTTAGCTCGTCGAAAGCCCCCTGGCATTCTGGAGTCCATAGAAAGCCAGCTGTCTTCCTCATGATCTGGAAGAAGGGTAGAGACTTCTCTGCCGAT